TATTTATAAATACTCAAAACATAGATAAAAAATATTTAAACATAGTTATATCTCAATCGTGTATATATTCTAATAACATAATAAAAGTTTAATAATAATAAGATCATAATACATAAATATCCTTATAAAATATAAATAAAAAGGCAATTTTTTTTGAATTTACATACATTGTTGGCATACATTATTAGTTCTTTAACAATAATAATTAACATAAACAAAATAAAGCATAAACTCATTTTTTTTTATTAAAATTCCAACTTTTATTTTGATTTATAAAAAAAAAAAACAAAAAACAAAACCGATTTTGACCGATTTTTGGCACCGATTTTTGACCCGCCTTAAAGGTTTGACCGCCTCGGACCGCCTCATACCGCCTCGGACTGCCCCAGACCGCCTCGGACCGCCTCAAACCGCCTCACCAGGCAAAAAACCGATTTTCAAACCTTTACACTAAAATCGTAAAGGTTTTGGACCGCCTCGGCCGATTTTTAGAACATTGGTATATATTAGTGCAAATCGTTGGTTAGAAATCATTACTTCCGGTTTAACTACCCAAAAAATGGGTAAAGTGTCCATGTGTTATCAAAATTTAGGGTGACAACCGGGCCGTGTGAGCCTAGCTTTTTTATGTTCAAACTCATATACCATCTGACCTCAAAAGTAGAAGTTCAAAGCTACATATCATCGGGCTATAATAAATTTGTAGGATCGAACTCGGGTTATAGATTATTTCGAGCTTCGGGTTTAGATTGGCCTCAAATCGAGTTTATAACAAATATATTTTAATCATTAAAAAAAATACAAATTATTTTGAGATATTTGAATGAACTGATTTTACTTCATATACCATAATATATAAATTTCATGCATTTTGTTCATAATATAAGACTAACTTTAAATCATATTTAAAATAGAAACCATGTCATATGAATTAATAATTATAATAAAACTAACTAAATTATAAATATTTGAAAGGGTCTTTACAAATAGCCCCATCAATGGGTACTTATTCATAAAGAGATCCATACAATAAATTCCTTTACAAAAAAGTTCACACATGGTTCAGATTTTTGTAAAAGACTAAAATAGCTCCTCATACTTTAATATGCTCCAATTTCATCCTTAAATTTAATTTAACCTCAATTTGATCCCAAATTTCACAAATTATTCAATTTTGACCCAAAACACATTATTATGGACAATTTCGTCCGTCACCGGCTCACCGCCGTTGACCGCCGGTCTCCGACATAGACTTTTTTTTCTTCCTAATTTTTTCGCCGATTTCCGACGTTGATTTTTCTTTTCATTTTTTTATTATTTTTTTTCTTCCTAATTTTTCTGCCACCGGCTTCCGGCGTTGACTTTTTCGATTTTTTGTTTTCTTTTTTTTTTCTTTCTTTCTTTCTGTAACATTTTTTTTCGCTTAAACTCCAATATTGCTGTGATTGACAGTAATGTTAACTATATTACTGTTAAACACAGTAAAATTAACTATACTACAATTTAACACAATAATATTGTTATATTAATCTCTAGCACAGTAATATTAACACAACAAAACTCATTATTATTGTGTAATAGAGTAATATTACTATGTTGACCGTTCAACAAATGTAAACATAATAAAAAGACAAAATAATTAATATTATTATGAGTGTCAGTAATATTACTATAAGAACAATAATATTACAATAATAGACAGTAATATTATTACGTTACTCCGTGAATAACTCAAACAAACAAAAAAATCGAAACAAAATAATAATATTGATGTGGTTGACATCAATATTACTATAACAACAGTAATATTACCGCCAACCACAGTAATATTATTGTGTTTACAGTAATATTACAATAACAGACAGTAATATTATTACGTTATTCCGTAAATAACTCAAATAAAACAAAAACCCCCAAAAAATAATAATATTGGTGTGGTTGACAGTAATCCTATAGAATAAAATAACATTCGGAATCCACCGAAAACTCTAGAATCCACCAGAAAATAGAAAAAACTCTAAATATTTTATTAAAATTCGAAATTCTTTTTCAAAATAAAGTCCCAAGGCAGCTACTTATACTAAAAAACTGAAAACCCTAATTAAACTAAGAAAATACTAAAAATTACCTAAAAGGGCAAAACAGAGTTAGAGTCTGATTTTAGTAGCTCTCGTAATTTTGGGAACAACCCAATTTATGGAATCCTAATCCGATTTTTCTATGATTTGATATTAATTTTCAATTTGCCTAAAATAGCAAAAACGAAGTTTTAGGTATCTAAACGACGTTGGATTGTTGAAATTGGACATGATTCATGAGCTTTGCTCATGAGTTTTGTTCCTTGAGCCGTTTCACTTGAGATAGAGTTCGTTTCGTACTCAAATACGATTTGAGTTCGTAGAAAACCTTTATTTTTCCATAATTTCTTTCGATATTTCCACCAATGCCCATTAATAACTCTTCTCCGAATTAAATAGTTATTTTGCAACACGAATCCAATTTCACGTTCCTTATCATTACCCTTGGTTATTTTTCCAAGTAATAGAAAGGTAAAATGGACAAATCTCATTTTCTGTGAATTTAAACGATCAAACACTAAATTTACTAAATCCCACACATAAATTAAAAAAGGGGTAATATGCGTGACACCCCTCAAATCAAACCTAATTAGATGTGAATGACATCCTCAAATAGAATAATTTAACTAAATCCTTAATTTTAAACCAATTTTGACATACACCCTTTTATTTTAGTTTAACCCCAAAATACCCTTAAACCTAATTAAATATCACGTGATTCTCTTCTTCTCTTATTTTTCTCTCTCTCCCTTTCTCTCTTCGGTTGCGCCGCCCAACTTCTCTCCTTCTCTCTCTTTCTCTTCTTTTCATTCTATATTATTTGTGTGCCACCCAATATCTCCCCTTCACTCCCTTTTTTTTTTCTTTTGGTGTAGTAGATCTCAAATTTTGATGAATTGAGGCGGAGGACAACAGATCTGTACCCAATGGCGGCGGCGACGACGGCGGCTATTCCGAAAGAGCTTTGCGTGGCGGCTTTGCAGTACCCGACTCGCCTAGGGCCGGTGGGAAGGGGAGATTGCATCACCCTTTGTGCACGTGGTGGTTGGGGGGCAGCAGGGAAGGGTTGGCGATGTGTTTCAACGACGTTGGTTTGCTTGTTGCACGTTTTCGGGGGCGACAAGGGATGGGTGAATCCATGGTAGGTGTGTGTTTTACAAGGCGAGGACGGCTTAACGGTGGTTGGTCTTCATTTGCTGGCAGCTCTCGGTTTCAAAAGAGTGATATTATGATTTTCAGAATGACTACAGTAGTTTACGAGTCTGACGGCGTTGTGAATCGAAGGGTCGGCGCGAAGGTTCAAGAGTGCGGATCTAGGGTTTTAGAGTGACTATAGTTGCCTATGGATTACTACAAGTGACTATGGATTACTACGGATATATATATTCAGAGTTGTCTATGGATTACTACACGTAACTATGGGTTACTATAGTTGTCTATGTGTTCCTGCTGCAGAGACAATGGGTAGTATACTGTGAAATTGGATATATGATTTGGATGACTATAAATGACTACGTGGAATTATGAATGACTATATTGTGATTCATATTCTGCATTTATCGATAAAAAAATAAAAAAATAATAGTTAAAAATGTATAAAGCAAATTAAAAAGATATGAAATATTAATTTTAAATATCAGACAAAGAAAAAATACGAAAAAGAAAAAAAAAACTGAGAAACACGTTCTACGTAAAAAAAATTATAACAAAAATTTTAGATGCAAAAATGAAAATGTTAAATTCAGAATAAAAACCGATAAAAGCAGTTTAAATATTACTTGGAGCAAATTTCATTTTTTATATATGAAGGGCATTTTTGGAATTAAATTTGTAAAGGATGTAAAGCAAAGGTTTAGTTGGACTTGTCATTTAGTTCTAATAATGTTTGCCACTAGGGACCTATATCTTAAGGCCCCTTAAAAAAAAACCTCTCTCTACTCATATTCTCTCTAACTTCTCTTTATGATAATTTTATCCAAATCACTCAAAATTCGTAAATTTTTCACGTGAATAATCATAAAAAAAGAGTTCAGTTATATTTGGTATTTATTCAATTTCATTAGGGTAAATTACAAACACCCGCCTGAGGTATGGTCAAATTATAAAAACACCCCTCTTGTTTGGATAATTACAACCACCCCCTCAACTCCTCAAATTTAGTGGAATCTTTGAGAATATATGGAATATTATCACTTTTGTACCCGTTTTATCCCATTCAAACTCTACATTATGAAACAAGATGATCATAATATGTTTTTCTTAACCTGTATATATCACTTTGTGGTGCATCGGAAGCTGTATTTTTACACAAAACGAGTACAAACTAGAGCACATTCCACGGAATCTAGATGATTATGTTGAATTTGGCACCATAAGGGTGGAGGTGTAAGAAAAAATCATAGCTGAGGAGGGTAGATGTAATTATCCAAACAAGAGAGGTGTTTTTGTAATTTGACCATACCTCCAGGGGTGTTTGTAATTGAACCCATTTCATTATGCCTTTTTAATTATTCAAATTCATATCGATTTGAATTTTTTCCTCAAATTCCAACTTCATTTTAGTTTGAACAAGTGAAGATTTTTCTCAAATTCGAACTTGAAATGCTAGGGCCGCTTTTAGTGTCTGACTTTGTGAAAAAGTTAGCGAAAAAAAAGATGGAAAGGAGAAGACAAGATTTTAGAGAGATAAATATTTTCAGTTGTGTGAATGATTTGGTAAAATTAGTGTGAGATTTAGCATTCCAATTACTTATTTTATAGTATTTTCTGTTAACCCCTCTATGACAATTTTGGAACCCTTGTATTTGTTTTTGTTTTTGTTTTTTTTTTTTTTTTTTTTTCACTCTCTAATACTGTTAGCCCCACAAGAATCAACTATACTAGACAGTAAACACACACAAGTAGTAACAACATGCAAATATATTCACAGTTAAAAAGTAAAGCCTATATATATACATTACTATACACACAAGTCACATTACATTCACCAAATTATTCATTCCATCTGCTAAATTGTACTAGTTCAGATGATCATAAGAACATATCACAAATAAACAAGTTTGAAAATTAATTAAGGGATGTGATGAGAAGTATTAGCATTACTAAAAGTAGAACCATTTATAGACTTTCCACCACAACCATGGTCAAAGCAGTCAACACGCTGGTCCACCGCCTTACACGCCTTCTCACTCCGCTGCAGCGGCTTCCCCGGCACGCAGTTCCTCCGGTCGTCGAACACCGCCCCCTTCGAAGTCAAATTACCACAAACGCCCTCCTCCTCGCAGAAGAAGTTGTACGAAAATGTAAAATTAACCAAATTAGGCAAAACACAAACCCCCTCGGGTACCATCCCGCTCATCTCGTTATGCCCTAGGTTTAGGGTTTCGAGCCGAGCCAAACCCACAAGGCTATACGGTATGGGGCCCACTATTCGGTTATAGCTGACGTCGAGCAATCTCAGCTTGTAGAGAAACCCTAACTCGACTGGCAAGCACCCCGTTATGCTCGTGTTTATCAGGAGCAACTCCTCCAGTGTGTTTGCGAAGTTGGCTATGCTCGGAGGCAGACACCCCCCGAGGCGGTTGTTGGCGAAGACCACTACCGAGGCGGTGCTCGAGCCTAGGTTTTGCGGGATCACAGAGGTGAACCGGTTGTTGTTTACGAATATTGCGTCTAAGGGTTTTTCGAAGAGCTGAGGGGGCAACGGCCCCTCGAACTCGTTGAAACGGATGTCGAGGAAGTGGAGGGAAGGGAGAGAGAGGACTACATGCGGGAAGGGCCCCACGAATCTATTGTTGCTTATGTCGAGCTCGTAGAGGAGAGAGAGATTGGATAGGGTTTGTGGGAGGATCCCACAGAAGCGGTTGGAGTTAAGGTGGAGTAGGGCGAGTCCAGTGAGTAACCCTAATTCTTCAGGGAGGAATCCGGCTATGTCACCGTGGTTGAGATCGATGCCGGCCACGAGAGTGATGGTGGTGTCGTTTTGGTAGGGTGCGCAGTAGATTCCGGTGTAGGTGCACACGTCGGATCCGTGCCAGTTGGAGGTGAAGTTGAAGGGGTCCGAGTAGATGACTCGTTTCCATGCTTGGAGTGCAATGTAGTCTTGTTGAATGAGCCTATTGTTGTTATGGATTGTGGTGGTGGTGTTGTCATGGCGACGGTGGTGGTGGTGGTGGTGCGTGGTGGTTGTGCGGTTGTTTATGGCGAATGTATGGTCGGAGAAGAATATAGAGACGAGGACTATGAGACGGAGGACTATGGAGAGAGAGTATGAAGCCATTGGAGTAGCAAATTGATCAAAAAATTAATGGTTCTTTAATTTATTTGAAACATTATATTCTTCTTCTTTTTTCTCCTTTCATTTTATTACCTTCTTTTTGATGTTATAAGCATTATATTTTTCTACTTGGAAATTTAATTTCAACTACCAATTACAGTGACATTTTACCATAACTAATGGTAGCCAATATCATTATGTTTTTTTTTACCATATTACATTAGAGAATATTAAAAGTTGTCAATGAGTATGTTGAGGATTTAATTAATGAGAATATTTTTTGGTTAATTGGTAAGAAAAAGACTTATCTCCCTTTCCGACATGGAAATTAGGAAGACAGGTTGGCCCCTTAGTGGAGAAAGAACATGGTACAAAATTAACTTGTCTTCAATTTGAAGGCACATAAATTTCAAAGTTGTTTAGAGTGCAGTGGAATGTTATTCGCAATTTTAGTTACTAAAGCATGTACTTTTTCGACAAATAGTACTTTAGAATTTTATAATTTGTAATATTTTCTCCAACTCCTCCAAATATGAATCCATTTTAAATCAATTTTTACCCATTATTTACTTCCGTTGAAATACCCCTCAAATGGAAAATAATATATATATGACACTAGTAGAAAATTTGCTTATTACTACGAATTTTTTTGCTACGGTGAAAAACCGTAATAAAAGGTACTTTTTACTATGGAACAATTTTGAAGTCATAGTAAATACTAGGATTTACCGTAGCAAAAAAGTATTTGGTACGGCCATTTACCGTAGCAAAGCTTTTGTCACGTCCGTATATGCTACGGGGTAAATCCGTAGCAAATGCGTAGCAGAAGCCATTTTACTACGATTTTGATACCTTTTTCTACGATTAATGATCGTAGTAAAAAGCTATTTTTCTACTAGTGTGAATTAAATTTAATTGACTTTATAAACTTTTTCCGACACCAAAATCTCAATTTTAATTAGTGAGACCCCCTTAAAAATACGTTATTCCTATTTTACCCTTTAATTTTAATATATACCCTAGCCCACCCTCAACCTACAATCGTCTCTTATTCTCTCTCTCGTTCTTCTCTCTTCCTCTCGATTCTCATATCTCTCCTCTCGATCTCTCTCGACATCAACGACGAGGGCCAACGGTGATAGCCGGAAAAGGTGACACCGCTCAATAAGTGGGGGGTGCAAACCGATGAGCACTGGAGAAATGGTGGCAGCCCTGGAGGCGCAAAAGGAGGCGGGGGCCGCAATATTCTGACCTGAGGGGGCAACTGCAATTGTTGAGTCTTCTACCGCCGTCGTCAAGATCTGACTCTGTTTTCTGAAAATTTATCCAGAAAAAAGAAATAATATACCACCCAATATATTACAATTTTATCAATTTTTAGGATAAAATTGTAATTGAGTAGATAAATTTTACAGTCTCTGTGATTAAGGTAACTTATTTTTAGCTCAGATTTGTTTTAAATGAGTTTTCGATTCATAATTTTAAGGTGTTTTTAATCTTGTTTGTATGGAAGTTTGGACTTTTTGACTATGTTTTGATTGGGTAAATTGGTAAAAAAAAAAAAAAAAAAAAAAGTTCAGATTTATTTAAAAAAAAGCCCTAATCTCATTTATCATTTCTCTCTTCTTCTTTTCACGTTTTTCCTCTCTCTTCTTCTCAGCTATTTTTTCCTCTTCTCAATTTCCTACCCAAATCTCTCCCAAACCTCTAGTTTTTTTCTCTCTCGGTCTAGGAAGTGAAGAACAAGAGTCATCGGCGTCACTAGAACGACCCTCCTTCTCCTTTACCTTCTCTTTGAGATGGCTTTTTCGCCGCGTGTTGCCGGAACGAGTGCTAGGAAGATGACTTTTTCGTCGATTGTTGCTGGAATAGGATTTTGATGATGGGTGGTGGTTCTGCTTTGGTTGGTGGTGCGGGTTGTGATTTACTTTATTTGTAATAAAAAAACCGTAAGAGTATCGAAGTGGGGTGGTGATGGTGTGGTGTGGCGGCAGTGTGGTGACGATGGGGGAGGTAGATCTAGGGTTTTTGGTAGATCGGGCAGAGGGCGGCGCAGGTAGATAAATTCACGCAGGCTGGACCTTTAATCGACTACGTTTTTGGTAGTCAATTAAGTTAATAGACTATGCTTTGGTAGTCGATGAAGGTGTTAATCGACTGTTTTGGTAGTCGATTAAGGTTAGTCGACATCATTTTTTAATTCATTTTTCGATTTTTGTGTATTGTTTCCGATTTGTGCAAATCAATTATAATTTATGTATACTATTTGTTTTGTTACAAAAATGTCGATTTTTGTTTTTACGTAATTGTGTTTTTTATTTTATTTTTAGTAGTTAGTTCCTTAATCGACTATGCTTCATAGTTATATCGATTAATATACCTGATACAGAAAAAAAAAAGTTAAAAGAAAAAGCAAAGAAAAAAAAATAAATAAAAAAATCGGCTGATGTGGTAGCCTTGTAGCGCGTGATAGTGCTGATGAGGGGGCATGTGCTAGAGTAGGTGATCAACAAGCCAACTTGTGATTATGATCTTTCCATATTTACTTGTAAACAATCTATTTTCGTTATTAATGAAATTCTATTTTTGGCAAGCTATATCTATTGACTCATTTTATTATGCATAGATATAGACCTTGTAGTTATTATTAAATTACTATGAATTGATCTAGGGTAATCATGAGATAATTCATTTAGTAAGATAACTATTAAACAAGTTCCTAGTTAATGAGTTACGCCAATAATTAGGATAGTGCCATTTCCCGTTAGAGACGAGCACTAAGTGTATGCGAGTTGAGTCCCATCAGCTACAATATAGTGATATTGGCATACATAAGTGGGTGTTCATAATCGATGAGATCACTGAACTCCCCTGTCCTAGAATCTCTAAGTGGTTCCCATTAATCAGGTAGAGATTCTATGATTATAGTTGTACATCATTAGTTCTTAGACCTAATACATCACTGCGACTTCATTAGAGGACCAGTTGTGTTGTGACATGTCCCTGAGTCTCCTCGAAGACCGCTGTAAGGGCCAACGTTCGCACAGTCCGAGATCTAGTGGGAGTCTGTGCATTGTAGTTAGGGATTTGACCGCTTGCGTAATTGCATGGATGTCCTATGTATTTTTCAAGTATATTGTCCAAGGAATCTTCGGCTGAAGTAGAAAGTGTAGTGATTAGAGAAAAGAGTTTCTCAAAGTCAAACACGAATGGACTTTATAGCTTTAATTAGAACGGTCGCATTGTTATCGAATAATATTAATTAGAGGTTTCAATGGACCAATACCTCTAGTTCGATCAGGGCATATGTTTAGTCAAAGAGACTGTACTGTACGCTAACTATAAATTAAGGTTCTTGTATGCACTTCATTTGTATCTAGAGAATTATGACACGTAGTTGCTAGGCGTCAATCATAATTCGTTGGGCATAACCGATATGATCGGCGATATAGATTAAAATAAGTTTTAATCTAAATCGAGATATTTGTGACGAGTCCATAATTGCATACAACAGTTATTCAAGTCACAAATAGTTGTGGTCCCACGGCTAGTTATACACGTGAACCATTGAGGGTTACACTTCTTGTGGAGAAGATTCCTTAATAAGGTGAACTAAGATTAATTTGTTGATCTCAGGTAAATTGGAATTCAATATGATTGTATTAAAATTCGTAATAGTCAATTATGAACTGGAAGAAAAAGAGGAACGCAATTTTATAGATTTCAAGCGAATTTTCTAAATTGAGAATTTTCCTTGTTTAGAAGGTACCACTGAAATAGAGGTTTCCGAAAATGAAAATATTCCTAGGACCTTGTACCATCTTACCACCTCCGGAACCAGTTGAGCTATACCCATGCGGGATTCGTTAAATACTTCTTTGTACACAACATTGCTAGTAACACTGGACAAATAGGTTTAAAGTTAAAGAAGCTTGGTTTTTAATTTACTATAATTTAAATTTATTGATTTGTAATTAACTTTTAACTATTAATTTTCTAATTAAGTTTTACCGTTTATTTTTATTTTTTTGCCAAGAAAGTTTTATTTCATTAATTTGTAAATATTATAATAATATTTAAAAAAAAAAAAAAAAGGTATCAGAGGAAAATAAATTTTCATTACAACGGTGTCATGTACTTTTTTGGTATTCTGACAATAAAAATAATTTATATAGAAACCTTAGTAGGCGAGCTACAACAACTACATCCCAAGAAATGACTAAAATAGAAATTAGATATAAATAGAACTACTAAAAAACCGAAAACCAATTTGGTTTTCGGTAATGACACTAGTAGAAAATTTGCTCTTTACTACGAAATTGTTTGCTACAGTAAAAAGCCGTCATAAAAGGTACTTTTTAGTACACTAGAAAGGTACACGTGCGTTGCACGTGGCGTGTTATTGAAAATAATGTTGTGATTAAGTTAGTTGTTTTACATAATTGAGCACGAAAGGTATGCCTTTGGTATTGTAAGACAAGTGACTGGAAAAATATTTTCGGAAAAGTTGAAAATTAAGATTAACAAAAAGGACTGTGGATGACATTCAGTTGTGTTGTGAGCGTTGTAAATGCAATTAATAAACCATACATGGAAACAAAAAATTGTTGTATTTTATTATTTAGTACCTGTGTACAGTAGAAATGGAGAGAGAGGAGGGGAGAGGGAGTAGTATGTGCAAGGAAAGTATGGTGTACTGTGACTTATATATAAGAGATTACCGATTGCGCTTTGGTAATGAGGGTTTGGTTATTTGGTAGTAAGGTTTTAAACATTCATTTCAAGAAAGCATTTGCATCCATACGGAAGAAAGATGATGGATGATAATATTTTTTCCCGATTTGGACTCAATGACAACGTGCTAAATTAATAATAATAAACCTTTGAAAATTTTAAGGAACCCCATATAATATATTAATTAATAATAAATAATTTTTAAAATACATGGTGCAGTACATATTTTATAGATCTATGAAGGTTTAATAAAATATAATTTCATTGTTGGTTGCTTGTTGTTGAAGTTCACATCACCATAACACCTGTAGTGCATTGAACTTATGGGAAAGAATAATATACACGTAAAAAAAATTTATTTATTGAAAATAATAATAAAAATAATTACATAAATTAATAAGTTATTAATTAATGTATAAATTAATATTTATTAATTTATCGATAAAAAATGTTGCAATTCACAGAGGTAACCAATCTCCCTCGTCATATTCGACCGTTAGTATTTATGCAAAGAATCAGGATCTCAAATTTTCGTAAAAGATGCAAATGAGAAGATCAAGCTGGGTGATTAGGTGGGTTTCGGCCTTTGTTGGGGTCATTTTGCCATTTTCAGCATTTTTAGTTTATACATGCTTCTATACTTCAGTTTATTACATTTTCTTCCCCTCCTGGGGCTGTTTTATAATAGAATAGTTAGGGTGTTCTCTGAATTTTTATTGCCATTGTAGGAGAATTTTTTTCCCAATGTAGGCATACAAAGTTTTAATAAGGTACAAAATATTTTATAATAGTGGAATAATGAAGTTCTTTTGGCTAACAAAAATTAAAAAGTAAAAAAAATAAAAATAAAAATAAATTATCGACAAGTTAATAATTCGATTTTCATGATCCCAACTGTGTTAATTTAGAGTAGGGCTATTTCCACCAACAAAATATCTCAATTCACCACCAAAGATTATAAAATATCATAAATTTTTTTTTATTAATTTTTACAATGAAACATTTATTACAAAATTTTTAAACTTCCATATCAGATGACCCACAGATTATTTAATTTTGATTTTTAAGGAAACAAAATTATATTAAGCCAAATTTGCCAATTCTGGAAGAAGTTCAGGACCTTCCATACAAGCAATCTTAATTTATTTGTAAAAGAACGTGAATTCCCGCTCTTTTTGACATTCGGAAATGTTTTTCTTTGACGAAAGTATTATTCACTTAAGCTGGAACAACTATAATATAATATATTATATAGAAAATAGTAATATAATAATCATAATTAATAATAATGTTAAAGATTTTTTTGATTTTTAAAATCGAATAAATTGTCAATCGTACAAATAATTAGTATTTTATACCTTTTGTGCTATAAAACTAAAAAAACACAATAGTATATTATATTTCTCATTTTACAAAAAAATACATTAAGCTTTTCATTTTATAGAATAATTATTTTAAAATTAAAACAAGAATTTTTAACTTGATAGGGTTAGTTTAGTCTTTTTCAGTTTTCTATTGAATGGGGTTATGTGCTAATTTCATACCATAAGGGTGTCATGTGCAAAATTTCAAAACACAAGGGGGTTATGTGCCTAATTTCATACCATAAGGGGGTCATGTGCAAAATGTCAAAACCACAAGGGGGTTATGTGCGTAAATTCATACCATAAGGGGGTCATGTGCAAAATGTCCAAACCACAAGGGGGTTAAGTGCTATTTACCCAATATTTTAATTAGTTTAGTGGTAGATGTATGGTTTATAAATTTGTAAAAAATATAAGGTGAAAGAAGAAGAAAGGGGGTAAAATTGAAAATATATTTAATTTGATAGTAAAATAAGATATTTTGAGGGTGAAAATATGCATATCTCTTAATTTATAAAGGTTTAAATGTATAAGTTATTAAATGTTCATTGACATAGTTTTATGAATCGTTACTTTGAAATATCAGACTAAGTTTATATTTTATTTTTTAAAATAAATATGTTTTATAGTACTGGTAAAACATGCATATAGACTTTGTAATTAAACTACTACCTCAAGGCTCAAAACATAAAAAAAGACTTTGTAATTAAACTGCGAGCATAATTGCCTTTTTCAAAGAGCTGATATCGTGTCTCTCTCTCTCTCTCTCACTCTCAGAAAAATATACGGTCTATAATGGAATTACAAATGGATTTCATTTTTGGCTTTGATTGAATTTCAGTTTCCCTTTTGTTTGTTGATTTGTATTGGGTTATTAGATGGTGAGAGAAACTTTTGGTGGTTGTAGGTGTGTGGTGGAGAAGAGAAATTTGGTTTTGGGGTGTGGGTTTAGGTTGGGAAGATGGCTTTATAGAAAATATTGGGGATTGAATTGAAAATTTTGAGAAATTTATTTTGGGCTTTATTAAAATTATGGGGTGAATTTATATTTTTTTAAATTTCTTATTTAAAGGATTTTTGAGTATTTTTGCGTCAAAACCACACCCCGATTCGAACATTTCACGAATGCTACACACGTTCGGCTCGCAGTGGCCTTATTGCATTTGACTAATTTTCATAGGGGTTTTTGCTAATTCTTTTACCACAATGGTTTTTTCAGCAATTCGAGATTATACAGGGGTGGTGTTTGCAAAAAAACCCTACAAAAATCACTCTGCTCTCTTCTATCGACAGAAGTCCTAATTCCCCTTCAGTTCCATACTCATAGCAATTAATTTTTTTCGTATTTATTTTATTTAGTTCCTTTGGATTAATCATCTTCTGGTTGATTTATTTTCAATTTTACGAATTATCTTCAAGTTTGGTGAGTCACCACTCAACCCCCTATATTTGGGCACGAAGGGTGGTAAATGACTTGGCAACTGTGGAGATGTTTCAAGACAACATTGATGAGGTAAAAATTGTAATGCTGAAAGTATTCGTGCCTTTATATACAATTTGAATTTAATCCTATTGACATCTTGATTAAATAAGTCAATTCCCTGCTATAGTATAATTTTTTTTTACACACACACACACACATGCATCCAGTGGTGGAGGTGTAATGGGGCAAGGGTGGCCATACGTAATTTTAGAAAATATATTTTTGTAATCTAAGGTATTGGGTTCAAATATTGAGTTGAGTTATTGCTTTGTTATTAAATTTGAGTTAATGTATTTGCTGAATTTCAATACAAATTAGTTAAATTCTTAGAAGATATACTTTTGTTAGATGACATCAATATTTTTGCTGATATATTTTGTAAAATGAGTTTTGGGTTGTGATTCCCATTCAATTAAATTGTTCTGAGCCATTACTTTAATGGAATAGAAAGAAGAAAATGCAGGAACAAAGAGATATTTGGATTTTGAGTTGTTGCATGCATTTGCAAGTAGCACGATGTGATTATCTGCTAGAAATTTTGAGGGTTTTTTTGCTTCTCTAAATTAGAGGTCAATCAAAACACGTCTTGAAAATACTTATTATAGTAATTGTTTGAAAATTTTCAGCTTGCCTCTCGGTTATTTGTAATTAAGGTGTTTTTAAGGTAGATGATGGTGATTCTATTGTCCAATTCTGCTGTGCAAAGAGAGATGTTGCTGGTGGGCCTGAAGTGCCACCAAAACGAAGTGTAGCATGTGGCAAATATGTTGTGCCATACGAAGGTTTATCGAAATTTTGGAAATATGACAGCAAATTGATTAGAAATGTAATGTAGCTACTGTTGTTTGTGTTAAGATCACCATGTAGTATACCGGGCATGTGAAAAAGGAAGTTGTTAGTAATCTGGATATTTGAATTTTTTGTGCAATAATGATCTTCGTCTACATTAGTGTTATGTTACATGAACATATTCATTTTGATATGTTTTTACTGTTTATCAGTGTTTATTTTAGGTCGTCTTGGTTGTGTCTACTGCATAAACATCATTTGGGTATATTGGTTATTTTATGTTTTATCCAAATAAAGCATGCAATCCAAATGTAAAACTGAATTTCTAATCATTTTGTCCCTGTTAATCTTACAGACAAAATGTGTTTTTACGCATATTAAATAGTGTTCTACAGTACACTCCAAGTCATACAATCTATTCCATCTTATCCCTCCGTGAAACCAAAATAAGCCTAAGGGGCCGAATTAGACGGTGGAGGCAACCCAGGCTATTCCAACTGATGCGGTGGTCTTATGTCTCAGGCGGGGCCAGCGCTTGTTAGGTAATTTATGTTGTAAATGGCAGTTAATTTAATCATATTAAAACTGTACGATACAATGTCATAACCGAAAACTTGGGCAGGCACTTGGGTGGCTAATGTTTGGGCCGGGAGCTTCGAACACCATCATAGAAGCAGTTTGCTGGCGTGGTGCGGTACTATAGAATGTCAACTGTGTGGTTACTGGGGAAGGTATATTCATTTGAAAAGATCTTTTTTTGGTATTTCTTTGTTCTTTTTGAAGTTTCTATGATAAAGTTGGTTGGTTTTTGTGTTATTTATTGAATATTTTCTTTTGTTTTTCCTTTTTGTTTTCCTGTTATATTTATAGGTTCCTTCTGAATTTGTTAGTGAGCTAAGACATGACATTTATAGCGTAAAATATAATAGAGCCGTAAAGGTTTGTCAACCAGGTAATTTATTTAGTGTAATTTATTTTTGAAGTTGTTTGGTTAAGTTGATATATTATTCCATTTTATGTTTGTTTCCTGAGCTGTAGAAAATTTGCATCCTCTAGTTTTTTTTGTTACTAATATTAGTCTTATTTTCTGTGTGCTGTAAATGACAGCATTTTGAGTGTCATATCATATCCAAATGAACATAGAGTCTAATTGATTTATAATTTTGGATGAAAATGTAAACCGAGTGAATTATGCCAATATGAGTATGTATAAATTATAATTATGCCAGTAAAAGAAACTGGGCATCAAGTCAAATCGATAATGTCTTAGAAGAACATATGTTGAAAAACATTAGACTTCCAAATGATACGAAAATAGGAAAAATAATGATATGAAATAATCTTGTACTTAGTACCCTTTCAGAACACATCGTTATGGTATTTGTAAATTTGTAGAACTCCATGTGAACCTGTTCATAAGATGAAAATATGAGGATATATTAGTTTACATCAGATACATGAAATTGGACACTTGGCCAATGAAATATAGGTTATCAATGTATGTCACCAGACAACTCGAAAATGTAGTAGAGGCATGATGAGGTGTAAGTTAAGATTAAAACTTAAAAGGAAGCTGAATCATGTGTATGTTGCTGCTGAATAAATATAAGCACAGGTATGTATTTTGCTTACCATGTTAAAGTCATTAGCATTCTATAAGTGGTGTTGTGATTTTGTCTTGTACGTCTTTGGACCCAACGTCCAATGATGAATCTATAGAAAATATATATTATTAATTATTAGATGCTGAAAGAATATAAGAATGTATTTATAGTTATCTGCTATATATATATATATATATATATATATATATATATATATATATATATATAACTGATAAAAAAAATTCTCTTATTACCCGTACTGAGTACTTCTTTGTAGACAACATTTTTTGTTGTCATTCTGTCCCTAACGTTGTTAGTGTCTGGCTTGATTAAGACTTTAGTTGTAGACATTGATGTTCCTCTTGACAACGCTACATATAGTTGGCCATGAGAAAATACCGATTGTGGCAAATATACTCCAACATTAGGTATTGTTTGTCCTTGCGCCTTATTTATAGTCATTGCAAAACAAAGTCTAACTGGAAATTGCTTGCGCTTAAACTTGAATGGGTAACCTTCATTTTCAGCCGGTGAAAGTGGTATTCTAGGTATGAAGACATGTTTCTCTGTGTGTTGACCAAATACAATCTCTGCATGAAGGACATTGTCCTTGAAATCTTTGCATACCATTATCGTTCCATTACACAGACCATTTGAAGGGTCCAAATTTCTCAAAAGAATTAGTGGGCAGTTTTTCTTCAATAGCAGCTTATGGGGAGGCAAGCCATTTGGAGTTAGAGAATTGAGGAAATCTTCTTCATAACCATTGTTTGTATCGTCAATTGCTTCATCAAAACTAAAAAATGTTTGTGGTTCTCCCGGGAACATTGAAATCATCTTTTCATTCAATTTGTCCACATCCTCGTTTTTTGCTGCAAGTATTGCTCGACTTGTCATGTAGTCTGACGAATGGGCATTATTTGTCAACCTTGGAAAAATTTCAGCAATTAGGCGTTGTATAGATCTTTCTTCAGTATCATAGTTCACAATCATGTCATCTGGAATTTTGACATTCCCTTCAATGTCTGTTGGCTCGTCTCCATTGCCAATTCTGAGTAAAAAATCACTGAATTTTGTATCCTTATGTGCTCTCATATTTCTTGTCAAAGTGATTTTAACCATATTATTCCAAAGATTTGATTTGACCAAACTCGCATAAATTGTTTGGTGAATTGTAGCCCTTGGAACAACAGGTAGCACTTGCCTAAAATCTCCTCCAAAAACAATAACTTTGCCTCCGAAATGCTCTTTTTTTCCCATTATGTCTTGAAGGGATTTATTTACATTCTCAATGGCCCATCGTTTTGCCATAGGTGCTTCGTCCCATATAAGCAATTTTGCTTTACGGAATAAGTCAGCAGTTCCACTTTGCTTGGATATATTGCATTCAGTTGAGTCAGTGGCATCTATTGGAATTTTAAAACGTGAATGCGCAGTTCTTCCCCCAGGCATTATTGCAGCCGCTACCCCAGATGTTGCTGTTGCAATCGCTATTTGTTTTCTGGATCTGAGATGAGCCAAAAGTGCACGGTATAAAAATGTTTTGCCACTTCCTCCTGGTCCGTCAATGAAGAACATTGCAGGCTTCCCTTTTCGCACACAATCTAATATTGCATTGAAAGCCTTACTTTGTTCCTCATTCAGTTTAGTCTCAGCTTCCTGATCTTCCATAGGAATTTCCAATGACAATTCCTCTTCTATTTCTCGTGACCAGTCAGCTGATTTATTTTTTGTATCTGTTGAAATACTTGGAAGATCATATGACTCTAGTGTTTTTCCCATGCTTTCCAAGAAAAAATTCAAACTTTCCAAAGTTTTGGTATGTTGTAACTGAATTGAAGTTCCTGGTTGTTTTTTGAAGTCTTCAGACATTGCTTCAATGTATGTATCCCATAGATTCCTCACATTTGTTGGAGCACAATACCCCAAGATAATTGCAAATAGTCTTCGTAATTCACGTGGCATTTGGAAAGAGATGGCTTCATTTAAACATTCAATGATACTTTGATCGGACTGCAATAAGCCTCTTTTTTGGGCGGCTTCCTTGAAATTAGAGCATCGTATTCCATCTACACTTAAGAGATCCTGAAAAGATGTCGGGCCTCTGACATGATTCAGTAGTAACCTCAAATAATATCTCTCCTCTTCCATAGGATTTGCACCATGTATACGTCCTATGACATCTCTTTTCTTCCTCTCATTCCAACATTTGTGCTTCTTATCCCATACATAATGTTCTGGGAATTCTTTGTAAAGAAGCTTTCTTGCTTTTTCACTTTTTGAGCACATTGAAAAATATTCCGTCAGCATGGTTTTAGATACATGGTCCCATCTAAGAATATTTTCTAAATTTTGGTTTGCCCAATAAGTCACAAATTGTTGGTTAGGAAGATGAAGATGTAGATCAATAACAGGTGGATATATCTCATTCATTTCGAATTCGAAAATCCTCCAAATTGCTTCTTGAGCTGAGATCCATCGAGCATCTTGGAATTGTTTAATCTCATCGATCGTTTGTTCTTCAGAATTCTGTGAGATATTAATGGCCACTCTATCATGTCCCTTGTAGATATACTTGTACAAATACTTCACTGCTGTCACTCCCGAACATATCTCGACATTGATATGACAATTATATCTAGTCAACAGATACGGATTGTAAGGTACCACCCACTGATTATTAAGTTTAGCTCGACGAACTTCAACATTAATTCCAGTATTTCTTCTTCTGTAGATTGGGTACCCACCTTTACCTTGAATTGTGCTTTGACAATATGATCGTGGATAATGATATTTGCATTTTCCATCAACCATACAAGAATTCTGCTTGTTCTTTTCTCCACATGGCCCATGCATCATATGCTTGCGAACTAAGGCATGAAGTAGAGGATATTGTTCTTCATCTGGAATTTCTGCGCTAACAAATCTATCAAAGTTATCAGGACTTGTTATCTTATACTCGGACTTCATTATTACCAAAATGTGAGCATGAGGCAAGCCTCTTTTCTGAAATTCGATGACATGGACATGCGCAACAACTTTTCCAAATATCTCTTTCTTAAATAATTGATCCTTCAAATCTTGTAATTTTGCTCGAAACACTCTTGACGTCAAATCTGGACGATCTTGAGCCTTTTGTCCATCGTACAAGTTTTCCTGAATCTCTTTCCATTCTGGATTGCACGTCATTGTAATGAAAAGATCTGGTTTTCCAAACCTTTGGACTAAAGCCAATGCGTCAAGATATCTACGACGCATATCTCTTGGTCCCCCGATGAAAGATGCTGGAAGGACAACTCTTTTTCCAACTTCACTCCCTCTTGTCTCCCCTTTGAGGACACTATTCATGATACCTTGATATAATTCAGATCTCAAATTGGATTGATTTTGTCGATAATAATCCAATCTCGTGGTCTCTAATTTGATGTACATGTCGACTACATATTGTTGTAGAAGACGTCCTGCAAATAGGAGTGTAGATTGCCTAGGATTCCTTATTTGCAGTTTGTAGCAACTATATTCGCGACATGAGACCCTTTTAGTACTTTCTTCATGAACTCCTTTATGTGCATGCAAAGAAATATTGAGATTGTACTTATAAAAAAAGAATTAAATATTTAAATATAATGATATCTGTAATTCCAAAATAGATATTATATATTTAAAAGTTGTACGTACCTTGTTGCTCTCGTGAGAGGACATCATTAGCAGAAGTAAAGGGGGTTACTCTTGAGCTTATTGGATGAATTGCTGAAACAAAATACGTTCCATATTAATAGATAAACGATATAATCGTAAAAAAAATTTAAACAAACATGTGTGTTGTTGTCTACCTGGAACAACAGTAGTTGCAGCTTGGCTTCCACTTTTTGGAATATTAGGGTGCCATCCTGAATCACCCTTAGGAAACAAGAGTGGGTATTGCATTGGATCATAACATCCGTAATAATGTTTTATTCTGTGTCTACGGCCTGAATGGGCGTGGATAACAATATCTCGTTCATTTGGCACGTAAGGATTGTTCCCTTCTACCCAAACAGCGGCAACTTGATCAGCAGTTGGAGAATTATAAACTCGCTGGTCTAGTTTGACGTCTTTTGAGATATGTAACTGAACATCATCCATAGACGGGTAATCCTTTAACGATCTAAAGATTTTGGCATAAGGATTTTCTTCCATAATTCGCATCAGCTTGTTCACTATTTCTTCTGATAAATCTGACTTGTTTAGAATTTGCATCCTGTTCTCGGTCTCTGTTTCAGTTTCCACAAAATATAATTGAAAATTCGCTGGACCACTTTCTGTTGGTATTAATCCTGGAAGATCGTGATATACCATGCCTTGTGCTCTAAAAGTGTAAACCCCGCGCTTTGCAGATGCAAGCTCTTTGTCTAATTTGACACCAAGTGATGTAAAAGAGAATATACAATTTAAGGCACGTATATTTTTTCGGAAGTTTATAGCCTCTTCTGACTGAGAAACAAACAATTCATACATTTCTGGTGGCATTTCTATAGGAGCAAGCCTAATTTTTCCATTGCCACAACAAAATGTGGGAGGCTCATATTCAAATTTGATTGCATGACAATAGATACATGCATGGACTTTTCTCAATTCATGAAGCTCCGAGCATGCAGGATCATAAATGGTTAAACCTAATGAAATTTTTTGAGGAGAATTATAAAATTTAGTTTGAGAAATTTATTTCGTAGACATAGTTTCAGTTATTTCTGAGAACTTACCATTTGATATTTGAGAAGGTATCATTTGTGCTCTTAGAAGCCAACGAATTGGTGGAGTTCGATGTTTCCTTGTAACAGGAATTGAATCATTTTGATTAGAAGACATTCTTATACAATGCGTATTGGCTTCCTCGGAATTATGATCATTGTTAGCAATACTTGTCTCTTTTTCCTTCTTCAGCTTCTTGCGGTTCATAACTTTGTCTATATATTGTCGTCTCTCTTCAGGAGTTAGTGCATCATAGTTTCTCTTCATCCTGCTTAATCTTCGTTGTCTCAATACATCTATAATATAATATTATCATAAAAATATGGTATCAACAATGTTTAAAAAATTGTCGTCTTATATCAACGTAATTAGGGTATAGGTAAATGTTTAAATTTCAAACCAGAGACTATACCTGAATTTGAGTCTGGAGTTGAATTTTGATTTCGCAACATTATCCAAATCCCTTGCTACAGAGAGAAATAACAAACATTTAAGGAAGTAGAAGAAAAATATTTATAAGGAAACATTATGAAATTTATTCTATCTGTTAAATTGAATATAACTGGGGAAATTATGAGTACGTCGAAAATTCTATTATACTTGGAGAAATTATGAGTATGTCAAAGTAATTGAGAACAAGCAAAATGAACTCCCGGATTATCTAAGTTTGAACAATGAATGTTGGTTCTCGATTTATCTTTAAAAAAAATTATAAGCATGCAATTCAATGAATTGATTTCTTCTGGTTTATCACTGAAGTGACGTTCGAATTTGACCTTTTACATTGTGAATTTATACCTACTATATCTCACATGCATTTCAATATATAGATTTGATGAGATTTTTTTCTTCCAATATAAGAGTGTAACTGAACAGTAGGTTACAATTTTCAATGGCAGGGTTAACTATGAGTTCATGCTAGTCAATAAAACATTTGATATAAGCAGAATAACATATCAAATATAGTAAAATCGATATTACATGACTCTAAGAATTTTAAAACATTCAATAAACAGCTGCGAAAATTCATCTTAAGTTTTATTTCAAGTAATGTATTCATCACTCAACTACTCCATATGTTCTTTATTGTTAATAGTGTGCACTCTTTTCTCTTCAGCTTTTTTCTTCATCTTCCATACTTGAAGTGTTTCATCGTCATCATCTGAACTTTGGATGATATTTATTGCCTTCTTTTTTCGAATTCCTCTTTTCTTTTTAGGAGGCTCTTTCTCATCAGGGGTACTTATTATGATTGCAGCGTTGTCTGTCTTCTTTTTAGAAAGACGTCGTTTTTTCTTTGGTTCTTCTTCTTTATTTGGATTGCATTGATTCTCTTCAGCCACCTTTTTCTTATTACGCTGGATTTTTTTGCTAGATCTATGTTCATCGGAATCGGTGGTTGCGATTTCTTTAGTATCATTGTCCTTGGAGCTGCTTGTGTGTGATATGTTGTCTTTTATTTTTTGAGTATCTATTTTTTGTATCGCATCAGCCACAACCTTGAGTTGTCCATTAGACGTTGAGATGTTGTTGGTTGGCGCGATGAGAAAATAAAACTCGGTGAATTCTTGTAAGCTTAGACCCCTGTAGTACTTTGAGTTATGTTCTCCCTGGGAAAAAAATTACCTTAGTTAATTACTATTATTAGTATTAATGTTATTAATTTTAAAGATTCATAGTTAGTATTTTAGGTAAAACTTTTACCTGTTCAATTGATTTGAGATATTCTTCAACTGGACATCCAACATAGGCGCTTGCCACCTCTTCAAACAATGTTATGATTGCACTTCTTGTTCCTTGTGTGACCGTTAAGGTCAATCTATACCTAAAATTAGTACAATACTTTCATTTCAGTAAAAATGATATTTTGTTTTAATATGTTATTATGTGATTACCTTGGTGTGGTACTTGTGTCTTCATGGTGGCATTTTGCACAGGTAACTTTTTCTTCCGTCTTCAGAACAGACGACATGCATTTTTTGCATGAATCATACCAAATATTTGACTTGGTTTCCACATTCTCAACTAATCCTTTGAAAAAATACTTTGTTTCCTGTATTACAAAGTAAGATGAGATATGGATTTATTTTTTTGTAAATGATGATTTATGTGGTTTACTGTACCTTGGATAGACAATCTTTTTGGTAGATTAGCTCGTCGAGAGCAATCTCCTTAGCTTCTTTAATGGATATTGAGTGGATCGCCACTTAGTGCTAACCTGTATTATGTATTATATTAGTAATAAGTTTTTTTTTTTATATTTAGGATAAATGGAATATAAAATGGGTGTGTTGCTTAACGTTTAATACTTACAAGTTTTCGGATTGGGGAATCACTATGGTAGGATTGATTTGCAGTATTGTTGCTGATGTTGTTTGCACCTGCAATTCTCCTATTAAGAAATAGAGTATTTATTAATATTTTAAAATTTATGTAACTAAAAAGTATTTTTTTTTTGTATTCTTATATAAACGTACCCAAATACTTTTTTGCTGTGACATTGGTGACTACAAGGATTGGATATTCATGAGCTATTTGTTGTAGGTACCCTCCTTCATTGTCGGCCAAATCTTCCCAAAGATTGACTACTATAGGATGGAAACTGGTAAATAGAAATTAAATAATTGTAATTTGGATAATTTTCTTTGCTTCTATAAGATATAATTTATGAAATAAGTATATATTTTTTTATACTCTTTGTCGATTATAGTTATTTCTCGAACATGTTTCGATCCTCCCCTCATTGTAGTTGTTGTCTTTGTTTGCCTCACTTTGATGACCACGCCACATACATCTGTAAAGCAATAGTATTATATTTTATGTTGTTTTAAGGATTGTAGTACAAATTATTTTTAAGGGTAAATATATTACCTATGGATTTTCTATGATGAAAGTTGACGTCTATGTCTTTGAAGAAGACGAAATTGTAGAGAAGATTTTCCTCAAGAACAATTGTTGGTGCCTCCTTAACTGTGGTAATATTCTTTTTGAGTACCAGTTCAAACTGAGGATGAGCATTGAAATACGCCTCATTGATTGTTCAAACAAGTGCATTTGAGATGACGTATGTCTTATGCAGTGAGAAATAATGATCAAAACATGCAACGTCTTCGTTAAATAAAACTACTCCTATTCTTGCACCCTGCAATGAAGTTCTTCATTTTATATTTGAAGGAACATGCCATAGTATAATTTTATTGACATTACTGTACTTACTTCTTCATCCATCATAATCATCTTTTTAACTGTTGTTTTCGAGTTTTCTCCGCAAATTATTGCGCTACCAACTCGTAAGGCTTTTAGTTGAAGTGACCATTTTTGTTGAGTAGTCTGTAAATCTTTAATGAGCACTTTACAATCTTTTGACATGGTTAATTGTTTTTTCTGCACCATAAGATTACAAGTAATATGAAGTATAATTATTCGTATCATGTATAATAATACCTTTTGATCTAAAGTGTTTAAATCCTAGTAATACTACAAGTTCAATGATTAGAGGGTACATGGAGTTTTTATAACAACACATAAAATATATATAATAACAAACAATTGCATATAAACAAAACACGTGTGTGAGAGTTAATACATTGTCAAATACCTCACAATGGTTTTGTCCTGTATAAAATGCTTTGTCCAGTATGAAATCCACAAACTTTGCACCTTCAAGAACTGCCTGACATTAAAAAAAAAAAATCTATAAAGATGTTGTCAACTAAAAGAATCACACACACACACAAATAAATATATATATATATATATATATATATATATATATATATATATATATATATATATATAGAGAGAGAGAGAGAGAGAGAGAGAGAGAGAGAGAGAGAGAGAGAGAGAGAGAGAGAGAGAGAGAGAGAGAGAGAGCACCCTTGGAAGAATAATTTTTCAAAATTTGCTGCAAGCCAATAATATTGATTCGGTGTGTTTTGTACTTTATATAAATGTTGAGATGAGTGTATTTACAATGAATAGGAGTTACAATTTAGAGGTATACAAACCAGACACCATGACTTTTCACGTCTTCCATCTGTAAATATGAATTTATTACTTATTTGTCTATTCCAAATACATGAATCACATTTATTCCAAATACATAAATCACATTAATTACAATGTAAACTCATGAGTCTATCAGAACTTGTGTAGACGTAATCATAGTATTACATTAATTAAATATTGTAACTCATTCAATTGAATGAGTGCACTTTCGAATTCATCCAGCAAATGCATATTAATGTAATATTTTATTTATATATTCAATGAAAGAAGTAGTATGACTTAGTTGTCCCTAAATATTTAATAAATTAAGGGATATTTTGGTCTCTTCAAAAAATAGAAGAAACCAAACAAAGATTCGTCCTTTTAGATATAGTATAGATATAGATTAATGTGGTTAGGTCGGAATATTTAATTTATGTGGTTAGGGCCTAAAGACCCCCACATTTCTAAATATTAACGTGGTAGCTCGGGATATCTAATTTCCCCCACAAATTCTAGAGTATGTATTCTAGAATTTTTCAATATAATATCCATAAACTTTTTCCAAAAGTTTTAATTCTCATTTTTTAATTCATTTGTCAAAGTTGGCACTTTCCAACTTTCATTCACATAGCATTTAAATGCTTTGACATCCTTATTTTTATTTTATTAATAAGTGAAAGAATTTATGGTCCCGAATTCGTTTAATACAGAGATGTTATCTTAAGTGTTATGACACTTGAGAAAACATGCAGCGGAAATATAAAGACAATACTCAGATCTAAAAATGTTCACAAGTAAAAACTTGTGAACTTGCCCTTTACATGACGGAAAAATTATATTAAAACAATATTACAAGAATACAAATAGAAGATGTACGAAAACTTCTTCCTTATGAATGAATCATTAACATGATCATTCTTACATTCAAATCTAGAAACAAAAAGAGAAATATTAAAGATTCTAGATTTCAAAGAATGTACTCGTGAGGAGTACGTACAGAACTTATGAATGAATCACTATCTTGATCATTCTTACAACCAAGTCTAGAAAAATCAACACTGTATACTAAACAATCTAGACTACAAAGAATGTACTTATGAGAAGTACGTAAAGAATGTATTCATGAGGAGTACGTAAAGATTGTACTCATGAGGAGTACAACCAACCGATTCTAAAAACACACTAAAACACTCATGTATTCTTTTCAGCTCTCGGTGTTTATTTCGTAGAATCCGTAAACTTCCTTGAGTCTTGAAGTCGGTATTTATAGACATTTC